GCGGGCCCGGCCTCCTGTCTCCCTCTGCCCGCGCCGGGCGTCTTCCTCCCTCCCCCGCGCATTGCGGCTTAATTCGCGTTTTGTGTGCCCCACTAAAGCGACATCGCCAGCGCAGTCATTCTGCCTAGCCGCCGACGCAAAAAGTGTGTGTGTGTGTGTGCGTGTGTGCTCTGCCTCCGGTCGCCCCGATCGCCCCCACGCTGGAGCAGCATCTCTGCTTCACCGCCGACGTAGAAAGTGTGTGGTTGCACTTCCACTCGTTTTTGGGCCTGCTCTCTCTCCTCGCCTCGCATCGACTTCATACTTTAATTCGGTTCCGTCTGTCTTGCGGCGTCTCCGCTGGTCAAAGAGGCGGTGTGTACATTCTGACATATGATCCAGTTTCGTTGCCGCGCATATCCGCCAAGGCGGTAGCGAGTCTGCAGTGTGGCAAGGAATGCGCTGAATTGCTTGACGCAGTGACTGCACCACATTGATTGAATCACCAAAATTGCATTGCACCATCTGTGTTGCACCACGTAGATTGCGGCCGCTTCGAGACGCGCCGTTGAAGGTGTACAAGAAGGAGGCGTCAAATGAAAAGCAGCTTGTGTCTGTTCAGGAACGGACATGAACATGAAACGCAGCTCTTGTCGACGGTGCTTGGTGAGTGTGTCGATGCGCTCACTGGACCCCTCGAGTGCCTCTTCGGGGCCTGTTGGGAGGCTCCCGGGGGGGGGGGCGGGGGCCTCTGGGGGACGTCGTGGGGGCCTTTTGTGCGTCTTGGAATCATTCAGGGGCCTCTTGGGTCGTCGCGGACGCTGCAAAAACGAACAAGCCGAGAACATGGCAATTCTGTAGACACCTTCTGTTTTTTTTGTCGCGCGTCTATGGGGCCCCATGGCATCAATTTTGTAGATGCGGCGTGGGGCCGGTGTGGAGACGACCTTGTCCGACTGGGGGGCAAGACGCGCTGCCATTGGAAAAGAAAAGATGAGGGAAGGGGACGGGCAGAAGCCCGAGAGGGAGTGGGGTCCATGGACCAGTGCGCCCGTTTGCTCAGTAGTTGGGCCCATATTCGGGTGGACAGGCAAAACAAAGCGCTGGGGCGTGCATCTAAAAATGGGTGCACGTCGGGTTCGATGTATCAGGAGGGAAGCAACATACGTATGAACAAGAGAAGGCCCGACACACTCCAAACACTGCAAGCGCGGTGGCGTACATATAGATATGTATACATATACATATAATTCTGGATACATATACACACACTGGCCGGCGCCGTACTCATGCAGGGTCCCGAGTGGGTCCTCTTCGGGGCTTCTTGAGGTCTTTTTCAGGCCGTCGTCGGGGCCTCGTGGGCCGTCTTGGGGTCCTCTGGGGCCGTCTTGGTCTCTCAGTGTAATTTTGGGGCCTCATGGGGCTGTTCTGGGGCGGTCTGGGGCCCCAGTTGGGCTGTCTTGCGGCCCTCATGGGCCATCTGGAGCCCCTCCGGAGGTTCTCTTGGAGCGTCTTGGGGCCGTTTTGGGCCCCTCTTGGGCCGTCCTGGGTTCGTCTTGGGATCATCTCGGGCGCCTATTGGGCCATCTTGTAGCGATCTCGGGGCCTTCTTCGGCCGTCTCCGGCGCTGTGGAGACCGAGAAGCCGAGTATGCGAACATTGCACCGAAACCCAGGAAATCGGCCCAAGAGGGCTGGCGCAAGCCGGCCCGAGGGTTCCAACATGGCACAAGATGGGCTCAAGACGGCCTCGGCACGGCCCCAAAAGGGCCTGACGACAGCTCAAGAGGCCCTGACACCAGCTTCAAAACTGCCCCAAGAGAGTTCAAGATGACCATGCAGGCCTCCAAGAGGGTTCCAAAACGGCTCCCAAAGACGCCCAACATCACATCTCTGGCATGCGGTCGTCCAACAGGGTCAAGGAATGCCGCAGGACGGCTGGAGGTGGCTCGAAAGCTCTTCATTGATGCCCCCAAGAAGGCAAAGTCATCGAGCTTGAGGCTCTGCGTCCAGGAGGGGTATCCTTGCTTTTGTTGCACTGGACAGGCGCCTTCCACTACTCGCAAATCAGCAACTCGCAAATTACTTGGTTCCGCCGCGGAATATTTTCGATGTGTTCAATAGAGGAAGACCTGTATATTTCGGACGTTTGCGAGTAGGTACTTTGCGAGTAGTGGAATGCGCTCGGCGATGCACCGTTGTGTGGCCCCAGATGCGTGGCCAGGAAGGGAAGGGGGGGGCGAGCGGCATCGATCCACCGTGGTCTGGCCTTGGTGGCGTGTGCCTCTTCTTCGTTCAGCTCCTCTTGGCGGTCCTCGGTTGGATCAAGAGAAGCGCAAGAAGCGTGGAGGAAGCCTTCAGACCTCCAGGTTGCTGTTGCTGCTCTTCCTCTTTCTCCCTCGTGGCGAGCGCCGAAGCGGCGAATGAGTAGACTGGCCGTTCCCGACAGGCCTGCCTGAGCGCAGACCGCACGGGGGCCTGCCTGCCGATCGCTGCGCATCAACATTCATATATGTTATATGTGTATATCTGTATACACCTGTTTATACATATATAGATGTGTATTATTCAAAGTGGCGCGTCACATCAATTCTGTGGAGCAGCGGCGGCTCGGAGGGTCGAGGCGTCATTTTGCTGTTGGCTCTTTTGGAGTTCCTGGGGCCGTCAGAGAACGAGAAGGGTAGGAGGACCAGGACGACGTGCATACTGAAACACGGCGTCGGAGCTCCGGGTCATCTTCAAGGTCGGTTCGGCCCCCGCCACCCGCCTCCCTTCCTCTCCACCAGCTCCCCGATCCTGCCTAGACGCCTGCCGCACCTCAAGTGAACTTCTAACAGGCAGACTGACATGCACGCCCTTTTAATCGATCAGCCGAAACACAAGCTTCAATGTGGGGTTGTGGAACCCTCGTCCCCACCTTTCGCGTTGATGGACTTCGCGTCACGGGTCGTGTTCTATGGGCCCAAAGGATCAGAAACAGAAGTGCGCGCAATCTGGATGTTTCTCCATCATCGCCATGGGTCTAGACGCTCTGGCCAAGAAGTCGGGCCAGGGAGGGCCGTCTGGTGCCTTGGCTACATAAGACCAGGCTACAGAAGCCGCTCGGGAGCTCAAATAAGTATCTCCGATAGCAATTCGGGCGCATGCACGCACACATAGAGACGTTTGTGTGTATATATTTATATTATATATATGTATGTATGCATATCTATATATAGGTATATTCATATACAAATGTTCGTATATGTATATGTGTATGTATAGTTATACGTATATGTTTATGTACATGTACCTGTACATGTGTATGTATGTACATATATATAGACATGTATACATGCATATCTATATATGTACATATCGATGTATATATACACATAATTATTTATACCTATATATAGACATATATATATATGTCTATATATGTATCCGCTGGCCCCCTCCAGGGACACAAGGCTGCGACGGTGTGTGCGGCCTGCTGTTATGTTGTTTGTGTTGTAATTTGTTGTTTGGCCTTTTGTCTCTCCAGTTCTGTTTCCTGCTTCCTGTTGACTCTCTGATAAGGGTCCCCGCCGCACCATCAAACAGCCAACGGGGGGTTGTGAACCTCAAATCCAGGCTGCTCCGGGCTACCCCAGGATTCTTTCGGTGACGCGACCGCGCAGCTAGAACGGCCCGAGAAGCAACCAAGATTGCCCGACGAGGCTCCGAAGAGAGCCTCAGGAGACCAAGGCGGCCCAAGATGGCCCCAAGATGTCCCGCGATGGCACCAAGACGGCCCAAGATGCTCCCAAGACGGCCCACGATGCCTCCAAGAGGGCCCCACGAAGCACAAATCGACGATGCTTCTAACTTTTTTGAAGTTTTTTGGCCTCCTTGCTTTTTCGGCTTTCCGACGCTCCGAGGCAGACCAAGAGGTTCCGAAGATCGCCCCTCGACGGCCCTAGAAGCCCCCACGACGGCCCAAGAGGCCCCCGAGACGGCCCCAAGACGGCCTAAGAGGGCCCCGAGATGGTCCAAGAGGCGCCCATGACGGCCCAAAAGGGCTCTAATAGACAGTCCCAAGAGAGGCCCAAGAGAGAGTCCACGAACCGACAACTGGACCTTTCCGCCCTAAGAGGCCCCCAGGAGGCCCCAAGAAGTTCCCCAGGAGGCCCCAAGAGGCCCCCAAGAGACCAACAAGAGGCCCCACGGAGACCCCCAAGCAGCCGCTCGCACTAGTAAAAGGGTGGCCGGCGGCAGAGGGCGAACCCCTGAATATACATATATGTATATATATATATGTATATATGTATGCATATATATATACACATATATACACACATATATATATATATATATATATATACATATATGTTTGTGATTGTTTGTGTGGTGCATGTGCTTATGTGTAAGTGCATGCATGCATTCATATATACGTGTGTATATGTATATGGATGCTATACACATATCTAATGTACGGATGTATGTATGTGTGTACGTATATATGTATGCATGTCTGCATGTATGTGTGTATGTATGTATGTATGTATGCCTGCATGCATGTATGCATGCATGCATGCATGTCTGTCTGCCTGTCTGCCTGCCTGTCTGTCTGAATGTATGTTTGTATGTAAGTATGTATGTATGTACGTACGTACGTACGTATGTATGTATGCATGTATGTATGTGCATACATGTATGTATGTCTGCGTGACTGTAGACATACACATACCGAAACATACGTATATGTGTCGTTTCTACACAGATGTAGCTATACATGGTCTAGTTGTACCTGTAGAACTCGTGCCGCAACATGCCAGTGTAGTGCAGGGGCGATTCTGGAGCTCCCTCGAGGTCGGTGGTGGGACCTGCTGCAAATTCTGTTTGGGGTCCTGCCCACCTGGATACGAGAACCGTTTTTTGTATGCGCTCCGCTGCCTTCGACTCGCTCCCCCGAGCCCGCGCGCCCGATCACTGCGGCTCCCCCGCGAAGCCCCCCCCCCCCCCCCTGCGGGCAACGCGCCCTCCCAGGCTCCAGGGGGGCACGGCGGGCGCGCCCCTGCCCGAGCCGCGGCCGCTCCGGGCCTGCCGCGGCGCAGGCGGGCGGAGCGCCCGGCCGCTCGCCCGCCGATGATCGACTTCGACGAGCTCGACGAGCTGGAGCAGCGCGCGGAGGCCGCGGCGGAGGCCGCGGCCGAGGCCCGGCCGCCCGCCGACCCGGCCGAGTGGCAGGCCAGGTTGCAGGCGGCCCTGGCGGCGGACGGGGCCCAGACGACGCTGAAGGCGGCGGCGCCCTGGCTGAGCTCGGTGGGCAAGGCCCCCGCGACGGCGCGGGTGAGGCTGCCCGCAGCAGGCATCCACGCACCGCCACGCGGCCTGGCCAGGGCCACCCGTGGGCCCCAGGACAGTGCTTTCGCAGAGGTCGCGAATCCCTCGTGGGCCCTGCTGAGAGAGGTCTGGGTTGTAGCGAAAACAGCCATATCGGTAGAAGCTTTTGCCGGCGAGAATCATCCCGCAGGGACATTGAAGTTCGGGGCCCAGGAAGGAGAATGTTTCTCCTGGAGATATCATGCTAGGATGTCTGAAAGAGCGTGTTCTGCCGCTGCTGGCGGAAAACTGGGGGGGGGTCACTGGGGGTTCCCAACCCGCCCCCCCCCTCGAAAACCGGGGGGGGGGGCTACTGGTTCGAACCCCTCCCCCCGAGTCCATCATGCCATCATGAAAAGGGAGGGGGGGTCACTGCCGGTTCGAACACCCCCCCCCCTCGAAAACCGAGGGGGGGCCACTACCAGTTCGACCCCCCCCCTCGCGCCTCGGGCAAACGATTCCCGATCCTTGGGACAGTTGGACAATGGTGGGGATACTGGGACAGTGGTGGGAACGGTGGTGGTGGGAACAGTGGTGTGGGGACTGGGACAGTGGTGCGGACAGTGGTGGGTACGGTGGTGGTGGGGACAGTGGTGAGGGGACAGCGGGACTGGTGGGGACAGTGGGACAATGTGGTGAAGGCGGTGGTGAGGACAGTGGTGGGACAGTAGTACAGTGGGGAGAGTGGTGGGGACAGTGGGACAGTGGTGGGGACAGTGGTGCAGTGGGACAGCACAGTGGGACAGCGGCGGGGACAGTGGGACAGTGGTGGGTACAGTGGGGCGAGTAGGACAATGGTGGGGACCGTTGGGAAAGTGGGGAGAGTGGGACCGTGGTGGGACAATGGTGGGGAGAGAGGGGACAGTGAGACACTGGTGGGGGCACTGGTGGGGACAGTGGGGACAATGGTGGGAACAGTGGGGACAGTGGGACATTGGTGGGGACTGTGGGACAGTGGTGGGGACGGTGGTGTTGGGGACAGTTGTGTGGGGACAGTGGGACAGTGGTGGGGACAGTGGGACAGTGGTGGGGACAGTGGTGGTGGGGACAGTGGTGAGAGCGGTGGCGAGGACGGCGGTGGGACAATGGGACAGAGGTACAGTGGGGACAGTGGTGGGGACAGTGGGGACAGTGGTGCAGTGGGACAGCGGCGGGGACAGTGGGACAGTGGGGACAGTGGGACAGTGGGGACAGTGGGACAGTGGTTGGGGCCGTGGGAAAGTGGGGAGAATGGGACCGTGGTGGGAACAGTGGTGGGGACAGTGGGGACAGTGCGACAGTGGTTGGGGCAGTGGTGGGGACAGTGGGGACGGTGGTGGGGACAGCAGTGGGGGATGTGGTGCGGATGGTGGTAGGGACCTGGGAGTCGTTTGCCCGCGGTGACGGGGGGGGAGGAGGGTTCGAACCGGTAGTGAACCCCCCTTGTTTTCTTTGGAGGGGGGGGAGGGGTTCGAACCGGTAGTGGCACCCCCACGGTTTTCTGGGGGGGAGGGGTTCGAACTGGTAGTGACCCCCCCCGGTTTTCCGGAGGGGGGTGGGGAGGGGGTTCGAACCGGTAGTGACCCCCTCCCGGTTTTCCCGAGGAGGGGGGTGGGTTGGGGGGGGAGGGGGGTTGCCGGGGGGAAGGGGGGGTCCAGCAGGGGGGGGATTTTCGGAGGGGGAGGGGGGGACCCCGGGTTCCGGAGAAAGAGGGGGGGGAATTTTCCACAGTAAAGCGGCGGTGGATCACGCTCTCTCGGATGTCTGGAACGGTCTTCCAGAGCCTCGGCGAATCTTCGAAAATGGGCGTTCCGATTGAGACATCCCCACACCATTGAGAATGAGGATTACGAAGTGATATGCGTGATATGAAGATCAGAGCTTCGATGCGAATTTTCGGGATAATGAACCATATGGAGCTCATATGATATCATATGGCAATTTGAACCAGATGGAGCCCAGGGATAATCGGATCTAAGGGGTTGAGGGGGGATTATCCGTAAGGGCTTCGCCCCCTGCCGCCGGCCCGTTCTCGATCATCATGGGATATATCAGGGTCGCGTCGGTGCGTCTCGGCGCTGCCTTGGCGCATCTGGGAACATCATGCGGGGCCGGATAGGAATCATCAGCGCATGTTTAGACGTTGGCGTTATCGAAGACGCCTACTGCGAATCACCGTCGCCCCCTGTCTTTAGAATCGCCCATCTGGCCGAGCGTTGTGGCAAGAGCTCTGCCAATCTACCGGACCATGTGTTCCCCCAGCCGTTGTGGGAACCCTTCGAGGAACACGTGGCGGAGGATGGCGGGGAAGATCAGGAGGAGGCGGAGGAGGAGGAGGAGGAGGAGGAGGAGGAGGAGGGATCATATTGGGAGCTCCTGAGAGCTTCCTGGGAGCCTTTTGGAGGCATCTTGGGGACCTCCTTGGGCCTCTTGGGGGCCTCGGGGGCTTCTCGGGGGCCTCTTTGGTCGTCTTGGTGGGTTCCTGGCTTGTCTGACACCGTCGGAAGCCGTCTTGGAGACCTCTCAGGGCCGTCTTGGAGGCTTCTTGTGCCCTCTTGCGGCCCTCTTGGGGCCGTCTTGGGCATCTTAGAGGCCTCTTGGGCCGTCTTTGGGCCCTCTTGGGGCCGTCTTGGGGGCCTCTTGGGCAGTCCTGAGGCCATCTTGGAGGCCTCTTGGGCGCTTTGGGGGCGATCTTTCGGGCTCCTTGGGCCGTCGTGAACCGTCGTAAGGCTCGAAAAGGACAAAAGCCAAAATCCTTCAAAAACCAAATGAAAACATTGATTTTGACCTCTTCGGGGACTCGTGGACCTCTTGGAGGCCTCTTGGGCCGTCTTGGAGGCATTTTGGAGGAGGCCTCTGGGGCCGTCGTGGGCCATCTGAGAAGTTTCTTGTGCGAACTTGGAGGCATCTTGGACTCTCTTGGGCCGTCATCTTGGACCATCGTGGACGAACTTAGAGGCCATCCATCTTGGGCAATCTTGACCATCTTGCCGTTTGCAGCCGAAACACCAGTTGCAACCACCCGGCGGGACGGGCCGAAACCCCAGGGGGAGTTCTCTTGGAAAAGAACCAAAACCACAAGCGAAATGGTCTAGCATGCTGGCCACCGCTGTGATGAATCAACAGGGGGCGGCGGATCGAAGACGCCTACGGCGAATCACCGCCGCCCCCTGCCCCTTTGGAAGCGCCTCTGTGGCCGACAGCTGGGCCAGAGCTTGACCAAGCTATCGGGCCAGTTGCTCCCCGAGTCGGTTTGGAAAGACTTCGGGGAACGCGTGGGGGAGCAAGAAGAGGAGGAGGGGGAGGACGAGGAAAAGGAGGAGGAGGAGGAGGCCTCTGGGGCGCCTCTTGGGGCACTCTTGGGGCCTCCTGGGAGCTTCCTGGGGGCCCCTTGGAGGGTTTTCTGTAGCCTTTTGGGGTTTCTTGGGGGCCTCCTTGGCCGTCTTAGGGCGTTCCTGGCTTGTCTGACGCCGTCGGAAGCAGTCTTGGGGGCCTGTCTGGGTCGTCTTGGGGCCCTCTTGGGGCAGATCAGGGGTTCTCAGAGGCCATCTTGGGCGTCTTGGAGGCCTATTGGGCAGTTTTGGGGCCCTCCTTGGGGCCGTTTTGGGAGCCTTGTGGGCCGTCATGGGGCCATCTTGGAGGCCTCTTGAGGCGGTCTTGGGGGCCTCTTGCGCCGCCTTGAGCCTTCGGAATGCAGAGAAGAAGCACCTGCCACATCGTTCAAAAACCGTGGGTTAATCAATGGTTTTGGCATCTTCATGCCCTCCTGGAGGACCTCCTGGACGCCTTTTGGGCTGTCTTGGAGGCCTTTGGGGGGCCCCTTTGGCCGTCTCGGAGCCATCTTGGGGCCACCTTGGCCGTCTTGGAGGCCATTTTGGTAGTCTTGGGGGCCTCTTCGGGCCGTCTTGGGGGCCGCTTGGGCCGTCGAGGGCGGGGGGTTCTCAAGTGGCGGTATGGGGGCATGCCATTTTTCAAACAATCACACTCTCGCCTCGGCGCCGCGCACATTTTCTCAAAACTGGCATTCTCGCCTCGACGCCGCGCGCATTTTTTGGTTGAACGGGTGTTTTTTTTCCAGGGGTCGGGTGGTGACGTGTTGTTTGCGGTATTTCTCGTGTCGGCGCAGTATACGCGCTCTGCCCTGAGGACCCCCATTGGCATTGCATTGGCGCGGTTTGGCATTGGATTTGCGTCGCATTGGTATTGCGCTGCATTTCGTCGGCAGTGCGCTGGCCTTGCGCTTGAACTGCGCTGGCGACTTCCGTTGAAACCTCTACATAAGGAATCCTATGAAACCCGCCATCAGAAGGATTCCTAGTGAACCTCCCCCTGCAAGACCAATTTATATGGAATCCTGAACCAGAAGGATTCCTATGCTCAACCCCTTTCTCCACGCGCACGCAAAAGGATTCCTAACCAATTCCTCCACTGAAAGATCCCGATCTAAATCATCCACAGAAGGGTTCCCAGTGACAAACGGGGAACAAACAGCATTAATTGCGTCCGCGTCGATCGGGATTGGCATGCAACGACCACGTGCTGGCATTGCACTGGCATTGTGCTGGCAATGGCTTGGCACGGACTTGTATAGAACTGGCATGCCAGCGGCCAGTTGAGTTCTCCCACAGAAGGCTCCTACTGAAATCCTCCATTGCAGGATTCCGAGGTCAATCACCCACATGAGGATTTCTATTGAATTATTGAATATAGAAGGCAAACGATTCATTGGTGGCCCTTGACATCGCACTGGCCTTGTGCTGGGAAAGCGCTGGCATAGCACACGCATAGCCTCGGAATTGATTTGGCAGTGCATCACTGTTGAGGCATTTCAAAGACGGATACCTATTGAATTCTTCAGAAGGCTCCCACTGTAATCCTCCATGGCCGGATTCTTAGTTCAGTCCTCCACAGAAGGATTACGATTTCAAGCTGCAAAACAAAGAATTCATTGGTGCTCCATGGCATTGCATTGGCCTAGCGCTGGAAAAGCGCCTGTATAGCACAGGCATTGTCTTGGAATCGACTTGACACTGCATTTCTCTTGACACCCCTCGCGCAGGGATATCTATTGAATT